AATTAATTCTATAGTAAGATAGAATAACAAAGTACTAATCTTGTTAAGTAAAGAACTTGTAAGAGAGTACAGTATAATAAGTTAACCACAACGAGTGTAATAATAAAATCCAACACATTCTTATACCCATCGTGTTCTGTCCTGATGCTCCCTATTCTCCCTTGGAAGCATGTTCCCATGGGAGCAGTGGGAGCACAATTCTCCCAAGGCCTCCCATTCTCCCTTCCTTGGCGGGAGCATGGCTCTTGGCGGGAGCACACGTCACGTGATCACCGCGGGGTTGTCGTCGTGCCTTTGGTGTCATCCTGAGTGGTTCTCCAACCACTCGCCATTCTAACAAGGGAAGAATCCTTCTGCTTGTTACTTGTAACATTATTCCCCTTCTTAGGCGTATCGTCCTAATACCCTAGGTTATCGTTTTCCTGTGCCAATTCGTGAGGCGTGGGCTGCATATAAGGTCGGTAGGCCCCGGGCCATTATAACCATCCCTTCCCTCTAGCCTTCCTAACCATGCCTAAGGTCCCATCTTCTGCTCGCGATACCGTGTTAACTTCAACTCAACAACGCCAGGCTTGGTCTGATCGGGTTCGTCGTTAAGGGAAAGAGATGACTTTCCGCTGCAAGCGCTGCGAGAAGAAGAATCTTCGTTGCTTTGTGGATACTGCGTCTAGGCAGTGTGCTAGTTGTATTGCTGTAAAGGCTAAGTGTAGCTTGTTTGTGACTAAGGAAGAGTAAGAAAAGGTGGAGGCCGAGAAGCGTCAAAAGCGTATTAACATTGCTCGTCTTCGGTCTCAGCGTGCTTAGCTTAATGCTCAGCTGTCGCAGCGGGAGTTGGAGCTTTTGGAGATCGAGGCGCAGGAGCGATCATTCGCTGATCGTGATCATGCCCTTCTAAATCTTCAAAATCGTGAAAAAGAGGAGGCTGAGGGGAGTTCCGCCCCTGGTATGGAGTTTCCGGCAACCGAACCATCGCTACCCGTACAATCGACTGACCCGGGCTAGTTACAGGCTGATTACTCTTCTTCTTCTTTCGACCCTTTACCTCTTGATTACTTCCTTTCCTACGAGAATCCGATTCTCGCTTCTGTGGATTTTTCCGATGGTACTCACGTACCAGTGACTTGCAGTTCGTCAAATTTTCCTCCAGTTCCCAAGTGTTATAGCTCTCTGGCCATCCTTGCCATTTGACTAGGTACTTCCACTGACTGCCGATTTTCCGTAGGTCCTTGATTTCCTCGACTACGTACTCGTCGTCTTCGAGCTCGATATCTTCCATTAGCTCGGCGTTTTGGGGTGCTGGTTCCAATAGCTTCTTGTAGAACACGTTGTGTATGCGCATGCCTGGTAGTAGCCGGAGTTTGTAGTTTACTAGTCTAATTGTCTCTAGGATTTCAAATAGTCCTAATCGGAGATTATCCAGTTTCTTGCTTGGCCGTTTAGTCTTCAGGTTTTGTTATAACAAGAAGACTTTGTCCCCCTTCTTAAAAGTTAGTCCCTCAATCCTTTGTTTATTCGCAGCCTTGGATGCCGTAAGGTTCCTGTAAGCTATATTCTTGCTTAATTGCTCGTGCAATTCTCGCATCAGTCGAGCTTTGTCGTCTGCTCCAACTGCAATGCTTTCAATATCCTTCGGATCTCGATGAGCAACTGGCTCATATCCGTAGTTCGCGTAGTGCGGAGAGTATTTCGTCGTTGCCGATTTTCTACTATTGTACGCCAATTGTGCTGTCGGCAAGAGCTCAACTTAGTTGTCTTGCAGCTTGTTGGTGTAGAATCGCAAATACTCCTCCAGCGTCTAGTTCGTTCGTTCCGTCTGTCCGTCTATTTCTGGGTGAAAGCTAGTCGATAGCTTTTTCTTGATTCCCATCTTTGCTAGGAACGTTGACTAATGTTTCAACGTAAACAGCTTATCTCTATCTGTAATAAATTCCTTAGGTATCCCATGCTCTAATACTAGTGCTTTCTAGACTTCATACGCGCATTCATCTGCCGTAATAGTTTCTTCTATAGGCACAAACTTGGCTCCTTTAGTCAATTAACATACGATTACTAGGATTGTGTCGCAAAGTTGAGCTAATCCTGGTTCTAACAATTTCGGGAGCTTCACTATGAAGTCCATTGTTACACTACTCCATGGTCGTGTCGGTGGCGGTAAGGGTTGTAACAGGCCGTAGGGCTTATGTCTCTTGGGCTTGTTCTAGTGACATGCCAAACAGTTGCCTAGGACTTCCTGCACCTTCGCTCGCAAGCGTGGTATATCGAACATCCTTTTCAGTCTTCTGACTATTTCGTCTACCGCTGCGTGTCCATATTCTAGGGACTCGTGCAGAGTCTTGATGAGTTCCATTCTCATATAAGGAGGCACATACGTTCGTGTTCCTTCTCTTAAAGCCGTAAGTTCTATCCCATCGTTAGTTACTTCTAGCGGGTATTCTAGTTCCTGTCGCCATTGCGTGGCTTTCTCTTGCCATTATTGTTAAAGAGTCGTGACTTGGTGAGCTACTACGCTGACCTTGACTAGGTCAGGCTTGTTATACCTCAAGCTTCCATCAGGCATCTGCCTAAGGACTGCGTTGTATGGCTCCTTGTGTCCTTCTTCTCGTAGGTCGGATCTTCGGCTTAGAGCATCAGCGGCTCCGTTGAGCAATCCCGCTCGGTGCGTTATTTTAAAGTCGAATTGGGCGAGCATTTTGGCCCATCGAACTTGTCGTCGGTTAAGTTTCTTGGTTGTCATGAAACTCGTTAGGTTCTAGTGATCGGTGAATACTTCGATCATGTCTAGGAGACCTAACAGGTACACCTCCTATTGTTCAAAGGCGTCGACTACTCCAAGTAGTTCCTTGTCGTGAACATCGTAGTTTAGTTCTGCTCCTAAGAACTTTCGTGAATGGTAGAACACTAGTCTCCATTTCCCATCTAGGCACTGCTGTGACAGTACAGCTCCTAGTGCGTAATCGGACGCATCGGTCTCAACTCTGGTTTTCCGTCTTGGATCGTACATCTCTAGTACGGGTGCTTCGAGGAACATCTGCTTTAGTTCTTCAAAGGCTTCCTGACATTCTTTGGTCTATTTAAACCCTATGTCTTTCTTCGTAATCTCCGTGAGTGGTGTTGTAATCTAGGAGTAATTCCTGATAAACTTTTAGTAGAAGTTCGCAAATCCTAGGAAGGATTGCACGTCCTTGACTGTTTTAGGTTTTGGCTATTCCTGTATAGTCTAGATTTTCTTTAGATTTATCTTAACACC